GCATGGCTAAGCATGAATCTCAAAACGTAAATTTACGTATCGTTTAATCTGCAAGTTAACGCACAGAGAGAGAAAGCAATATAATGGAATATGCAAAGAGCAAGCACATTATGCATAACTTGACGGGATAATGATAATAACAACAATAATAATCGAAAGGCTAGATTACCTTCCTACAATAATTAACAATGATCATTACAACAGCAACAATCCAGTAATATTTACATAATTATCAAGATCGCAAAAAAGGAAGGTACTCTTACATCAAGGAAGTCATGAGTGGCACAGGGTATAAATGCACTGTTTTATTTACCTCCAAGTGATTAATTCTAAAAGCAATTCTAAAAACAGTAGTAGTCTAGTAGAAAGGTGAAGCATTAAAGGAAGAATGGAACTCATCCATAGCTGAAAGTACCCACCATCGGCATGGAGCATGGTCAGAGCTACTACTACATTCTCACACTAATATTGAGTACAGTTCATCTTATGAGTATCGAATGAAAAGATGGAAACAGAACTATACCATAGGGAACCAAAGACTACCATTGCTTGTTTCCACCGTGAACAACTATTCAAGGGATAGTTGGATGCAAATGCTTAAGAATTTCTGTTTATTTCTTTCTCGCATAACTAATGTTACAAAAGTTAACTACTATATCAAGCTCAACTGCAGTTTGTAAGATTACAGAAAGAGGGAGAACAATCACCCCAGCGTGGTAAAAGTCAATGCAATCATTGTTACTAGTTAATTGCTATCATCTAAAACTTGACTGTTTACAAATGGAGTCTCTCTTCTTTTAGGAAATCTGCAGATTCTAGATTTGACCCCCTAAATTTCAACTCTGAGGCTGCCCTGAAATTGGGATCAACAGAAGCAGGTCTAGAGTTGGTATCAACAGAAATTGGCCTGTGGGAACTGGCTGATCCATCTGGATACTGGGATGGAGAAACATACCTTCTTGATGGACCTCTTAGACCACCACCTCTCAGATCCATAATATCAGCATTTCTTGCAGAAGAATCCGTGAAAGATCTATCACCAGATCCAGATCCTAATGGAGCTCCGTTTGTAGCTGATGTTGAAGTAAAAGGATCATCTGGGCCCCAAGAGGTAAGAGCTTCCTTCTTATTGGCAAAAAATTGCCATGCACCAAAAAGGAACAGAATAAAAAACAAAATGGAACTGATCCACTGCATGCTATTAAATTCTCCTTTGAAAAGAGGAAGGTTGGAGCGATACATCCCCACAAACCCACTTCCTAGATTCAGAATAACAAGCTTTTCATGGTCAGTGGCTATTGATGGAATCACTCGTCTCTTTACGGCATCTATATCCACTGCTTGACCATTTATAAATGATGCTATGATCTCTTCTAGACATGCAGAAAACAGAAGCCGTGGCCCACCAGCCCTAACATAATGATGAGAGGAAACATTATACACATAAACCTTCTCCTGGTTCACAAACAGTAAATATCCTTTTATTGCCTGAAGAGCTAGAGGCTCATTCATATCAACTTTCCTTTTGGATCTAACCCTGCATTTGAAGTTCATTGTATCACCTAACAAAAACACATGAATCAAATCACCCTCCGATGTAAAGCCATATGCTTTCGACCGCTCAGTGGCATCAAAAACATAGTTCTTAGCAACAGAATTGTTCAAACCTTCGCACTCTGACTCCCTAATTTTCATTTTCCTCAAATCCAATGATCCCGCACCAGTCTCAGTAAGAAACATAAGCCTTTGCTTCAAGAACACGAGTGGCCTGCTGGTTGGCACCGCCAATCCATGTTGTCTCCCAGTCTCCCGGAAAACCCTAATCTTTCCACTGCTGTCAATCGACAAAATGTACCTCACCCTCCCAACATGATGCACTTCCAAGATAGTTATAGGCAACCCCCCTTCCCCACCTTCCAGTGAAGTAAATTCCCGGACAGTTTCCATACGAAGCAAACTCAATTCCTCTCCATTTGGCACCTCCCAAAGCCTATGCATCAAAATTACACCATTCTCATGTCCAGTAACCAATACGGTTTCATTCTTATAAACCGACAAGTAAGACACCATAGCCGTAACAGGTGAATACGACAATGTATAAAAATCAACCGAAACATCCCCATTTCTCAAAAACACATAGATCCTCCCATGATCATCCCCAACCGCAACATATTTACCCAATCCTTCGTAATCCCTCAATGGCAACACATTGATACAAGTAGCATCAGAACTCAATTTCACAGCTGACACAAACTGAAACTTCTCCGACCCCCCCCCCCCCCCCCCCCCAACCCCCCCCCCCCCCCCCCCCCCCCCCCCCCCACCCCCCCCCCCCCCCCCCCCCCCCCCCCCCCCCCCCCCCCCCCCCCCCCCCCCCCCCCCCCCCCCCCCCCCCCCCCCCCCCCCCCCCCCCCCCCCCCCCCCCCCCCCCCCCCCCCCCCCCCCCCCCCCCCCCCCCCCCCCCCCCCCCCCCCCCCCCCCCCCCCCCCCCCCCCCCCCCCCCCCCCCCCCCCCCCCCCCCCCCCCCCCCCCCCCCCCCCCCCCCCCCCCCCCCCCCCCCCCCCCCCCCCCCCCCCCCCCCCCCCCCCCCCCCCCCCCCCCCCCCCCCCCCCCCCCCCCCCCCCCCCCCCCCCCCCCCCCCCCCCCCCCCCCCCCCCCCCCCCCCCCCCCCCCCCCCCCCCCCCCCCCCCCCCCCCCCCCCCCCCCCCCCCCCCCCCCCCCCCCCCCCCCCCCCCCCCCCCCCCCCCCCCCCCCCCCCCCCCCCCCCCCCCCCCCCCCCCCCCCCCCCCCCCCCCCCCCCCCCCCCCCCCCCCCCCCCCCCCCCCCCCCCCCCCCCCCCCCCCCCCCCCCCCCCCCCCCCCCCCCCCCCCCCCCCCCCCCCCCCCCCCCCCCCCCCCCCCCCCCCCCCCCCCCCCCCCCCCCCCCCCCCCCCCCCCCCCCCCCCCCCCCCCCCCCCCCCCCCCCCCCCCCCCCCCCCCCCCCCCCCCCCCCCCCCCCCCCCCCCCCCCCCCCCCCCCCCCCCCCCCCCCCCCCCCCCCCCCCCCCCCCCCCCCCCCCCCCCCCCCCCCCCCCCCCCCCCCCCCCCCCCCCCCCCCCCCCCCCCCCCCCCCCCCCCCCCCCCCCCCCCCCCCCCCCCCCCCCCCCCCCCCCCCCCCCCCCCCCCCCCCCCCCCCCCCCCCCCCCCCCCCCCCCCCCCCCCCCCCCCCCCCCCCCCCCCCCCCCCCCCCCCCCCCCCCCCCCCCCCCCCCCCCCCCCCCCCCCCCCCCCCCCCCCCCCCCCCCCCCCCCCCCCCCCCCCCCCCCCCCCCCCCCCCCCCCCCCCCCCCCCCCCCCCCCCCCCCCCCCCCCCCCCCCCCCCCCCCCCCCCCCCCCCCCCCCCCCCCCCCCCCCCCCCCCCCCCCCCCCCCCCCCCCCCCCCACCCCCCCCCCCCCCCCCCCCCCCCCCCCCCCCCCCCCCCCCCCCCCCCCCCCCCCCCCCCCCCCCCCCCCCCCCCCCCCCCCCCCCCCCCCCCCCCCCCCCCCCCCCCCCCCCCCCCCCCCCCCCCCCCCCCCCCCCCCCCCCCCCCCCCCCCCCCCCCCCCCCCCCCCCCCCCCCCCCCCCCCCCCCCCCCCCCCCCCCACCCCCCCCCCCCCCCCCCCCCCCCCCCCCCCCCCCCCCCCCCCCCCCCCCCCCCCCCCCCCCCCCCCCCCCCCCCCCCCCCCCCCCCCCCCCCCCCCCCCCCCCCCCCCCCCCCCCCCCCCCCCCCCCCCCCCCCCCCCCCCCCCCCCCCCCCCCCCCCCCCCCCCCCCCCCCCCCCCCCCCCCCCCCCCCCCCCCCCCCCCCCCCCCCCCCCCCCCCCCCCCCCCCCCCCCCCCCCCCCCCCCCCCCCCCCCCCCCCCCCCCCCCCCCCCCCCCCCCCCCCCCCCCCCCCCCCCCCCCCCCCCCCCCCCCCCCCCCCCCCCCCCCCCCCCCCCCCCCCCCCCCCCCCCCCCCCCCCCCCCCCCCCCCCCCCCCCCCCCCCCCCCCCCCCCCCCCCCCCCCCCCCCACCCCCCCCCCCCCCCCCCCCCCCCCCCCCCCCCCCCCCCCCCCCCCCCCCCCCCCCCCCCCCCCCCCCCCCCCCCCCCCCCCCCCCCCCCCCCCCCCCCCCCCCCCCCCCCCCCCCCCCCCCCCCCCCCCCCCCCCCCCCCCCCCCCCCCCCCCCCCCCCCCCCCCCCCCCCCCCCCCCCCCCCCCCCCCCCCCCCCCCCCCCCCCCCCCCCCCCCCCCCCCCCCCCCCCCCCCCCCCCCCCCCCCCCCCCCCCCCCCCCCCCCCCCCCCCCCCCCCCCCCCCCCCCCCCCCCCCCCCCCCCCCCCCCCCCCCCCCCCCCCCCCCCCCCCCCCCCCCCCCCCCCCCCCCCCCCCCCCCCCCCCCCCCCCCACCCCCCCCCCCCCCCCCCCCCCCCCCCCCCCCCCCCCCCCCCCCCCCCCCCCCCCCCCCCCCCCCCCCCCCACCCCCCCCCCCCCCCCCCCCCCCCCACCCCCCCCCCCCCCCCCCCCCCCCCCCCCCCCCCCCCCCCCCCCCCCCCCCCCCCCCCCCCCCCCCCCCCCCCCCCCCCCCCCCCCCCCCCCCCCCCCCCCCCCCCCCCCCCCCCCCCCCCCCCCCCCCCCCCCCCCCCCCCCCCCCCCCCCCCCCCCCCCCCCCCCCCCCCCCCCCCCCCCCCCCCCCCCCCCCCCCCCCCCACCCCCCCCCCCCCCCCCCCCCCCCCCCCCCCCCCCCCCCCCCCCCCCCCCCCCCCCCCCCCCCCCCCCCCCCCCCCCCCCCCCCCCCCCCCCCCCCCCCCCCCCCCCCCCCCCCCCCCCCCCCCCCCCCCCCCCCCCCCCCCCCCCCCCCCCCCCCCCCCCCCCCCCCCCCCCCCCCCCCCCCCCCCCCCCCCCCCCCCCCCCCCCCCCCCCCCCCCCCCCCCCCCCCCCCCCCCCCCCCCCCCCCACCCCCCCCCCCCCCCCCCCCCCCCCCCCCCCCCCCCCCCCCCCCCCCCCCCCCC